CGCTCTGGTCAACCAAAGTGCTTTGCAAGCAGCTCTGGTCAACAAAAAGTGATTTGCAAACAAATCTGATCAAAGTGCTTTGCAAGCAGATCTGGTCAACCGAAATGCTTTCAAGCAGAGGTCAGCCAAAGTGCTGTGCAAGCAGATCTGACAACCAAAGTGCTTTCCAAGCAGATCTGGTCAGCCAAGTGCTCTGCAAGCAGCTGGTCAACCAAAGTCCTTTGCAAGCAGCCCTGGTCAACCAAAGCGCTTGGAAGCAGCTCTGGTCAACAAAAGTGCTTCAAGCAGCTCTGGTCAACCAAAGTGCCTTGGAGGCAGATCTGGTCAACCAAAGTGCAAGCAGCTCTGGTCAACCAAGCTTTACAAGAGCTCTGGTCAACCAAAGTGCTTGGAAGCAGCTCTGGTCAACCCAAAGGCTTTGCAAGCAGGTATGGTCAGCAAAAGTGCTTTGCAAGCAGGTATCAAAAGTGCTTTGCAAGCAGATATGGTCAAGCAAAATGCTTTGCAAGCAGGTCTGGTCAACCAAAGTGCTTTGCAAACAGCTCTGGTTAACTGAGGTGCTTTGCAAGCCAAAGTGCTTTGCAAGCAGGCCTGGTCAACCAAAATGCTTTGCAAGCAGATCTTGTCAACCAAAGTGCTTTGCAAGCAGGTCTGGTCAACCAAAGTGCTTTGCAAGCAGATCTGGTCAACCAAAGTCGCTTTGCAGGCAGGTGCTTTACAGGCAGATCTGGTCAACCAAAGTGCTTTGCAAGCAGCTCTGGTCAACCACGTGCATGCCAAGCAGCTTTGGTCAACCAAAGTGCTTTGCAAGCAGCTCTGCAAAGAGCTTTGCAAGCAGGATTTGGTTAACTAAAAGTGCTTTTGCAAGCAGCCCCACCAAAGTGCTTGGCAAACAAATCTGATCAAAGTGCTTTGCAAGCAGATCTGGTCAACCAAAATGCTTTCCAGCAGAGGTCAACCAAAGTGCTGTTCAAACAGATCTGGTCAACCAAAGTGCCTTCCAAGCAGCTCTGGCCAACTGAGCGCTTGGAAGCAGCTCTGGTCAACAAAAGTGCTTTGCAAGCAGCTCTGGTCAACCAAAGTGCCTTGGAAGAAGATCTGGTCAAGCAAAGTGCCTTGGATGCAGATCTGGTCAACCAAAGTGCTTTGCAAGCATCTGGTCCACAAAAGGAGTTTTGTTTGGTCAACCCAGGTGTTGCAAGCAGGTCCAGTCAAAGAAAGTGCTTGAGTGCTTTGCAAGCAGCTCTAGTCAACCCAAAGTGCTATGCAAGCAGCTGGTCAACCAAAGTGCTTTGCAAGCAGCTCTGGTCAAAGTGCTTTGGAAGGAGATCTGGCCAACCAAAGTGCTTTGGATGCAGACCTGGTCAACTAAAGTGCCTTGCAAGCATCTGGTACACGAAAGTGCTTTGGTCTGGTCAACCAAAGCGCCTTGGAAGCAGATCTGGTCAACCAAAGTGGCTTTGCAAGCAGGTGTGGTTTAGTGCTTTACAGACAGATCTGGTCAACCAAAGTGCTCTAGTCAACTAAGTGCATTCAAGCAGCTCTGTCAACCAGTGCTTTGCAGGCACCTCTGTCAACCACACTGCTCAAGATCAACAAGTGCTTGACAAGCAAATCTGATCAACCAAAGTGCTTTGCAAGCAGATCTGACAACCAAAGTGCTTTCCCAGCAAAAGTGCTTTGCTGACAACCAAAGTGCATGCAGATCTGGTCAGCCAAAGTGCTCTGAAGCAGATCTGGTCAACCAAAGTGCTTTGCAAACAGCTCTGGTCAACCAAAGTGCTTGGAAGCAGCTCTAGTCTACAAAAGTGCTTTGCAAGCAGCTCTGGTCAACCAAAGTGCCTTGGAAGCAGATCTGGTCAAGCAAAGTGCTTTGGATGCAATCTGGTCAACCAAATGCCTTTCAAGCACTGGTCCACCAAGGTGCTTTTGTCTGGTCAACCAAGGTGTTTTGCAAGCAGGTCTTGTCAAGAAAGTGCCTTGCAAACAGGTCAACCAAACTGCAGCTCTGGTCAACCAAAGTGCTTTGCAAGCAGCTGGTCAACCAAAGTGCTTTGCAAGCAGCTCTGGTCAACAAAAGTGCTTTGCAAGCAGGTTGAGTGAGTGAGTGAGTGAGCCACGGAGTGAGTGAGTGAGTGAGTGAGGTTGAGTGAGTGAGGTTGAATGAGTGAGGTTGGGTGATTGATGGGTGAGGTTGAGTCAGTGAGGTTGAGTGAGTGAGGTTGAATGAGTGAGGTTGAATGAGTGAGGTTGGGTGGGTGAGGTTGAGTGAGTGAGGTTGAGTGAGTGAGGTTGAGTGAGTGAGGTTGAGTGAGTGGGGTTGAGTGAGTGAGGTTGAGTGGGTGAGGTTGAGTGAGCACTGGTGCGCCACCACCAGCACCAGGGGGCGCAGCCCACCACCACTAGTGTACACCACCATTGGCACAACACCACCGCTGTACACCAGAAGGGCTTTGGGCGCACACCACCACTACTGGTGCACAAGAACTGGTGCCAAGGGCTTTGGTTCCATCAATCTGTGCGCGCAAAGATCTTAGTTTCTTTGTTTGTTTGTTTGTTTGTTTGTGTTTGGTTGTGTGTTTGGTTGTGTGTTTGGTTGTGTGTTTGAATGTGTGTTTGCTTGTGTGTTTGCTTGTGTGTTTGCTTGCTTGCTTGCTGGCTTGCTTGCTTGCTTGTATCGATTTTTATATTTTAGATTAAAAATAAAAACCACAAAAATATCTCTGGTTTTTAATTTTCAATTAAAAATGAAAGAAATTCATACAAAATTATATATTTTTATTGTTTTTAATAATCAATAATGAATTTAATTTAATTTCTATATTTTTTAAACTTTTTTAAATTTATGATATAGAATTATATCCAAGAAAAGTCAAAAATGCTATGGTTTTTATTTTATTTTTTAAAATTAATTTTCTTCTAAAATTATATTAATGTATATCGATTTATTTATATTTTAACTCAATTAAAAACCATAATATCTATGGTTTTCAATTTTCAATTAACAATGAAATAGATTCATGCAACATTATATATTTTTATGGGTTTTAATCAATAATGAAATTTAAATCTATTTTTCCCTTTTTTTAGAATTTTGACATTTATGATATAAATTATAGCCAAGAAAATTCAAACATGCTATGGTTTTTATTTATTTATTTTTTAAATTAAGAGCACTAAAATGATATTAATGTATATCGATTTTTATATTTTAAGTTAAAATTAAAAGCCATAAAAATATCTTTGGTTTTCAATTTTCAATTAAAAATGAAATAAATTCATACAACATTGTATATTTTTATGGTTTTAAATCAATAATGAATTTTAACTAATTACTACAATTTTTTGAATGTTTATTTAAATTTGTGATGTAAATTTATATCCAAGAAAATTAAAAAAAACTATGGTTTTTGTTAAAAAATTGTTTTTAATTAAAAACCCTAAAAGTATATTAATTTATATCGATTTATTGATAATTTAAGTTAAAGTTAAAACCCATAACAATATTTCTATTTTTCAATTTTCAATTAAACATGAAATACATTCATAGAAATTTATATATTTTTATTGGGTTTTAATGAATAATGAATTTTAAATTAATTACTAGAAAAATATTTACAATTTTATATATTTACATTATTTAGAATTAAGAAAATGAAAAATCAAAACTATGACAGAAGCATTAGGGCAATTATAAGAGAAATTCATTTGGACCCAAACCCTTAATAACCCTTATACGCCCTAAACCCTAAACCCTGTCCAAATAGAAAATGTTGAACCCTAAAACCTTAACCTTTAGGGTTCAACATTTTTCTAATTGGGAAAGGGCTGTCCAATTAGAAAAGGTTGAAGCCTAAAGCCTTAACCTTTAGGGTTCAACATTTTTCTAATTGGGAAAGGGCTGTCCAATTAGAAAATGTTGAACCCTAAAACCTTAACCTTTATTCAACATTTTTCTAATTGGGAAAGGGCTGTCCAAAAAGAAAATGTTGAACCCTAAAACCTTAACCTTTAGGGTTCAACATGTTTCTAATTGGGAAAGGGCTGTCCAATTAGAAAATGTTGAGCCCTAAAACCTTAACCTTTAGGGTCCAACATTTTTCCAATTTGGAAAGGGCTGTCCAATTAGAACATGTTGAACCCTAAAACCTTAACCTTTAGGGCTCAACATTTTTCTAATTGGGAAAGGGCTGTCCAATTAGAAAATGTTGAACCCTAAAACCTTAATCTTTAGGTTTCAACATTTTTCTAATTGGGAAAGGGCTGTCCAATTTGAACATGTTGAAAGCCTTAACCTTTAGGGTTCAACATTTTTCTAATTGGGAAAGGGCTGTC